CGCGCCGCGCCGTCGCTAAATAGTCACCAAAGACTGCGTGAAACTAAATTCGGCGATAGCACGCTGTACTATGTCTTACATATGGGTTTAGATGGCAGCCTGCTGTGTGAGCCCGAGTAAACCTAACCTATATCAACTTCAAAACGTTACGGGTCTCTAACACTGGTCAGCCATTCTAGAGGTGTAGTTCGTTGGCTAGAAGGAGGGGAGGGCCGGAGTACGGATGCGCCATCCAGCTTGCGCCGCGCCAGGGATAGTTACAAGGAAGTATTATATTTCATCGCTCCTTCCTTTTCACGTGAGCCGTGGAAAGCATGGAGTCTTATGGGCAACAGGGCTCAATGCAAGCCCGTCGGATTTCTTAAGGGCTGGACACACCTTCAAAGTGAAACTTCAAAGTGGTGGCTGTTTAGCCAAGTGTTGCCATCGATTACCGCATCGATGCGCATCACTTGACTGAACAGCCACCACTTTGAAGCTTCACTTTGAACGTGTGTCCGGCCCTTTGATGATGCCGGTTAATGTGGATGGGTCCGATTTTGTTCGGTAAGTGTCGGTAAGTGTCGGTATTTTCGGTAAGTTTCGGTATGTTCGGTAACTTCGATATGATCGGTAACTTTGATGTGTTCGAGAAGTTTCGATACGTTCGATAAGTGTTCGATAAGTTTCGGTATGTTCGATAAGTTTCGGTATGTTCGATAAGTTTCGGTATGTTCGATAACTTTCGATATGCTCGATAGGTTTCGGTATGTTCGATAAGTTTCGGTATGTTCGATAAGTTTCGGTATGTTCGATAAGTTTCGGTATGCTCGATAAGTTTCGGTATGTTCGATAAGTTTCGGTAGGTACGATATATCGCGGTAACTTCGGTATTCGATGAATCGAAAATGTTTCGGTATGTTTCGGTAAGTTTCGGTATGTTCGGTATGTACGATATATCGCGATAACTTCGGTATTCGGTGAATCGAAGATGTTTCGGTCGGTATCGATCGGTAACGATCGGTATCGGTAAGGGTTCGGTATACAGCTCTACGTAGTGATTCATCTAAAAATAGTCACATCACATTTTCGACCGGTCCTATTTTCCAGCGGAGGATTCCTCAGGCTTGGCTACACAAAATTTTAGTCAATCGGTACATGCACTATTAAAAATCAATGATTTACTCTGAGTGAATAGCCGGCGTGAAAAAAAAATCCAGTGCGAATTTCGCGCCGTACTCCGAGTGAATAGATCAGAGCGTAAATATCACCAACGACGGACGAATTAGTTGAGGTACCTCAAGTAGCGTGAATTCAGGGCTGACTGATTTGAGCGCCGAATGGCAAAGTGGTGACGCGCTCCAGTGGCGTGGCGTGAATGATCGATTATCGATATCTCGCCGTTTGAAGCTATGATAAAGAATCGATTACTAAGGTGTCCGCTACGAACACCCTGATAATCGATCTTTTTTCATAGGTTTAAATGACAGATCAATCGATATATCGCAAAGCACGCCACGCCACCGACGCGACTCGTGTTCAAATCCACGCTGCGACAGTTCCGTTTTACGTTTGCCTGTCAGATTTTCACTCCCGCCAGAGCGCGAAATTCGCGCCGGATCCGTGCACTCAGAGTAACAGGTGGTCAAAATAGCAACTGAGCAAGCGTGAATTTCGCGCCGGGATTTTTGACTAGCAAGAAGATAAGAAACCCTCAGATCATTATTCGGAAAATTGGCGTTGTCACAATAAAAATCAGTTATGGTTAACTTCGTCGGTACAACAGGCAACGTTGGAATGAAGTTACGGTGCCAGAGAAACATGCAAAGCTTCCTCAATCCTCAGTTGGCGTTGAAAACAACGAACACTGTACGAATTTCATTATAACTCCTGGATGCAACTATTCGGGCTCCGTGGTTGTCCGTGATGCATACCCACGAAATTGAAGGCGTTTTGACTGTCCAGGCACTCACCATCTCACCCGCGCAGCGCCGGGCTTTACTGCGAGTATCCAAAATGACAGAACGCTTTCCATTCTTCATTTATAGGGACCACAAAATTATCTCCTAGACATGATGTGAATAATTGCACACAGGCGTCAGAGGTATCTTGTGTACTTCAGTTTTGATACCGCGATGCGCTTGGCAATTCATGCCTTCCTAAAGAGATGTCGCCGAAGTATAAATGAAATGCGGAATCGAAGGAGCTTTGTCATTTTAGATCCTCCCGGGGAAGCCCACCGCACCGTGGAACGAGCCTTTCAGAGAGTTTGTACGGAGTGCTTCTGGAAGGCAATTTTACGAGAAAACCAACGAGGCCACTTCTAAAACCCCTACGTTCCGCATTGATATCGACAAGAGCAGCTTTCAATGTTCCCGCCTTTTGTTCGGCTCCTCTCATTGGCTCGTTCCACTGAGCGCCGATATAAAAAGCGGTTAGAGAAGTCAAAACTTCTTCACTTAGGTGCGTATCGACGGTGAAACTACCAGACCACGTATCTCGTTTGCGGTGTTTAAAAATCTCCGCTCTCATTTTATTTTTTTTTAAGAAGAACGATTCAATATTATTACTTGAAATTTTCACAGAATTGTCTTCGCACTGAGAGGAAAAATTACAGAAGTGAGAAGTTTCCTCTTTAAAAAATAAAGTATGACAGGAAGTTTGCGACGCCGCAAACCGAGATACGTGGTTTGGTAGTTTCGCCGTCGGTATGCAACATGGACGTGCATGGAGCTCAAAAGGTTGCATCCAGGGGTTTATAATGAAATTCGTTCAGTGTCTGCCGCATATGTGACACTAACTGACGTTTTGATTGTTACACTTAAACCTTAACTTAGTGTTGCCTCTTGTGCCGATAAAGTTAAGTCATTACGGATTTTTATTGCGCCATTGTCAATTTTCCGAGAAATGCATGGTTTAAATATATGGACGTTGTAGGCCCTCGAAATCGCAAAAAAATTACGTATCTGAGCATGATATGTGGAGTTTTCAACCTACTTTAATGTAGAGTACCTGTATAGGGAGAGTAGCGACAGATCGGTTCATGGAGGGCTTAGGGCCCAAAAGTGCAGCCACCCTTCTGAGCAACTTCTAACACACGAAATTTCACTGCCAGCCTACAGATTTCAATTCTAACCAAGATGGCTAAGAATGTACATAAATGAGCGTTCTTTCGCAAAAATAAGTAAATTTATGCAAAAAGTAAGCCAAATACATGCTTTCTAAACGACGGTCCGTAACAATTGTATTTGTAAATCGCTCTGGACATTCGAAATTCATAGGTTGGCTGCCCTTTTGGGCCCTAACTTCATTCGCGGAGGCATCGGTGAAGGCCTGATGGACTCTCGGAGTTTCAGATCTGTCGCTACTCTCCCTATACAGGTACTCTACTTTAATGAGTCATCCTTAATTTTGCCCTGCTAAAAATGGTGAGTACAAATGAGTAGAAAATCAAAGTCATATGGATAGAATTTCAATTCATATGAATAGAATTTCAGCTCATGTGAATAGATTTTCAACTTATATGAATAGAATTTAACTCATATGAGCAGAATTTCTCTATTCAGTTTTCGCCAACTCATATGACTAGAGATTCCAACTCATAAGACTAGAGGTTTCAACTGACATGAGTTCGGCGTTGAATCTACCGTGTTCGATATCTCAGAAACTAGTCACCGCAACAAAAAATTATAAGAACAAATTGTTTTTATTTTTCAAATTTACATTCTATGTCGGTGCTCCTGGTCAGAAACAGCACTTTCTGAAAGATGAAAAAAATTGAATTCATATGAGTTGAACTTTTCTACTCTTATGAGCAGAATATTCTAGTGATATGAGTAGGATTTCTACTCATGTGAGTTGGCGAATTCTGAATAGCCTACCTACTCGTCATTTTTACCAGGGTGGATTTTTGTTGTTTTCTTTTGGGATTAGGTACTAATGTTGGTATTTAAGCGCAAAAAATTCCAAGACCAATCCTAATGAATCGCACGAACTTTAGAACAAAAACGATAACCATTTGTCTTTCAAAAAAATGAAATGCGACAGGAAATCTGTAGTATCACAAGCCTAAATACACGTAAATAATTTCCTAGGTGCAATTGCGGAACTAGTACAATTAATTAAGTCTGGTACTTAAATATATTAGTAAAAATTATATTATGTTCTCTCTTCCCCTCCTGAAATTTGAGCTGCGTCCATCTCTATTATTCGGACGATTTGAAGACTCAAGGGATTAATAATGGCGGCTGAACAACAAAATGCGTAAGATAACGTGGATTGCATTTTGCAAACGGGAACCACGAGCATTATCAAATATCGCTAAGATTGTGCATCTTTTTCTACTTCGCAATTAAAAACTGATCCTCGAAACAAGTTGTGTATATACTCCCAATAAAATATAAATTCAAGAAGAAAACTACCTTGGTAACTTTAATTTCTTGTATGATTTCAGTGATCTTGTTGCAAAGAATGTAGGTTGCACAGTCCTAGCAACATTGGAATGCTCTTTCTTCCTTTCCGCAAAATGCAATCCATATATACCTTAAAATGGTATCCAAGCGGTAGGTAGAAGAAGATAGTTTTTGTAATGGAATCTGTGGCTTATCTCTGATTTTCCCTGGAAATTTTCATTCACTAATGAATTCCGATTTTTCCAGGACACCATGACTCAAAAAACGAAACGTTTTTTATGAAAAAACTGAGATAGATCATTTATACGATTTTCGCATCATATCTGAAGCAGCTTTAAATCAAAATAAGGGACAGATTTTTATTCATAGGCTTCCCATAAAAAATTCATTGAAGATTGGGGGAGGGGGGGGCAGGAGGGGTTATCGCAACATGGCGATTCAAATGTCTGAATTGAAATGTGGGAGGGAAGGGGAGGAGTCTATAAAAATTTACTCAAATGCCCCTGTAGGCTATTTTGTTTTCAATAAGCATTAAAATAGTTCCGTCCCCAATATACTTGACACATTCAAATTTAATAAACATAGTTGGAATAATGACAACAAAAGTACTTGGATTTTTAAAAAATATTTATGAGGTGAAAAAGAGCTTTTTTATGAATGGGCAAGAGGAACAGAATCGAGTAAAAATAACGATCAAATTCTTGAACAATCAAAATTTGAAATGATAAACATAAGATGCAATTAGATTTCGACATTTGAAGAAGAAAAAAAAAAAATTAAAACGTAACTGAATCCTTTAGTACATTAGGTTTTGAGCATTGGAAAAAGTTCTTGGTACCGGCAATCAAACTTGATGACTAGATATATGTGCGTAAAAAAAGCGAGGGATCACTTTTTCATGTAATTTTCACCTGTGATCATAGGGTGACTGCGATGGCATACCTACCTACTTGTAAAAATCAGCTGTTGTTGTTTATGCTGCTAATTGAAAAAACTCAAACTTTTTATTTAGTCACAATACTAATTTCACCCAGTTGGATAATTTTTTTCGAGCATTTTCAGAAAAATAAAAATTTAGAGTGCTATTTAGAAATAAAATAGACAGCAGATTCAGCTGAGGACAGGGTTCTTTCTCATGCGAATTAAATGCAGAGATTCACTTGAAAAAATAACATAATTTCACACTGCTGTAAAAAATAATTCTAAGATTAGTAATTTTCCTATGCCTTCCTTAAAAATGCCAAAGATCTATTGAACTCTTTAATATCATCAATGATTTTATAATTACACGTGGCACTAGGATTAACAATGTACAGATAATTTAAAGGGGCTGTATTATTAATTGGACTAGATGGTCGATTCGAGTCTGACTTGTGCCCGACAACCTGAATTACAAGTTTCCGGAGCATATTAGTATCCGCTTGGATATATTTTTCATACCATTCTGTGAGATCACTCAATTTTAATTCCTTTATTTGCTTTGCCTCTTTTAGGTGCCGTTTGAAAAAAAAGTCTTGGCTTTTGATTTCATCAAAATGAAACTTCACTTCATCTCTTAGACAATTGAATACTCGCATTTTGTCCTTAATTAAGGAATCTTGTGATTCCTGAAATGCCTCTTCTGAGATAGATTTCAACTCCTCGCCAAAATTTTCAATGAATGAGCTCAGCTTACTTTCAACAAAATGAGGCTCAAATTTATCTAATGCAGAGATAAGAGTAACTGAGAATCCCAGGACACCAAGGGTATCCTTGTAGCAGCATGAAATATCATACCCTAATTGTTCTTTAGTCCTCAAAGTATCAAAGAGTGGCTCTTCAAAAATCATGTCAAAGAACTGAATTATACATGATGATTTCAGATCAAATACTCCACATTGAAAATATTCAGAGGTTAGACAATTGACATCATTTTTATCAAAAGACTGGACACTGCACATGTATTGACCGACAGGCAGCTCACAGAGAGTCAAGGATGGAATTTTCTCTTTGGGCAATTCATCAAACTGAAAAATGGATTGGATTTTCACACACGTATCTCTAGCTTGGGTTTCTGAAATATTTCCTTGAAAAAGACACTGTGCTTTCAATTCTTGCAAGAGTGTTCTGGAAAAGTTTAATAAATCATTGTAACTAATGTTTGACAACTCTGCAATTCTATCTACATCAAAAGAGGAATCTCTCCAGAGGGCTGAGAATCGTAATGCTTTTTCTACTGTTTTTGAGCTTTTCAGTTTGTTTCTGTACCCCTTGCCAACCTCTTTTTTAATATTTTCAAATAAATCGAGAGCAATATGATCATGGGAGTTTTTCATTTGATCTAAAATTAATTCGAGAACTAAATGAATTTTGTCATGGTAGCCTTCTAGTTCAAGCGCGAAACCTCTTTCAGTTTTGTAAATTCGGTGTCCTGTGCTACACATTTTGGCTGGATACACATGCGGGGTTAAAATTTGTTCAAAAACATTCAAGAACACATCCCACATCGTTTCGTTTCTGGGAGAGGCAGTAACAAAATTTGATAGGAAATGAATACAGATAATGGTAGTTGGCATTTTGAATTCAACATCTTGCTTGTACCAGATTTCAAAATGATCCGAAGGGCTGTCAATTTTCACAGGGAAAGGGTTAGCACTCTGAGGGGATGGCAAGAGGTCAAAGTTGGAAGGAATAAAGTTGTTAGGAGGAGGGATGGTTACAGATTTTGGCAACTTGAAACTCTTCACATGCTCTAATAATTCAGAGCCAAAATCATCAACTCGATATTTGGTTTTGAACCAAAATTCTTCTAAATCTAGAGGTTTCACTTCATCCTTTGACCTTATAAAAATAATTGCATTTTCTGGTATCATTTGATCCAAATAAGATTTAATTAATTCAGGATCATACTTCTCATATAAGTCTGGTCCACTGATGAAGTCCTCGGGAGGGTATACCAACATATCTTGAGATAAAGATTCAACATAACTTGCTACATCATCTTCCTCTTGAAACCGAAAATCAATATCTGCTAGGGCTTTAATTTCATCGTATATTCTATTGCATGGACCTAGCTCTTGGAGGGATCTGACATGGCTAAAAATGGCACCTAAAACATCATTCATGGCAGAAACACCTTGCTCTGACAATTTAACAGTTATTTCAAAATATGTGAAAAGAGAATTATCGTTGAACTGATCATTTTCAACACCAGCGCACAAGGCCAGGGCCCAGTTTTTGGATCTTAAGAAAGCCATTAGACTGTTAACTCCTTCGTGCCCAATAATCCATGACAGATACGCTAGAGGCTTTTCTTTGTAATAATTCGTATCCGGAGGTAAAATCCATCCGACTTGCAATAATGTCACATCCTTTGTGGATTGAACTGTGTAAATTTTGTGAAATTTATCATGTTCAAAAGGAAGGCCCTTCATTGGAAATGAGTCTGCAGGGAGGTTGTTTGTTGGAACGGCAGAAAAAAACTGAACAACCCATGACTCCAGTAAGCTGGATGGCAAACGAGCTTGTATAGCCAACTTCATGCGATGAGCTGAGTAATGTCGTTTATAAAATTCTACAGTTGCTGCATGAAGGTCATCATCTGATACATCATCTTTCAGAGTTTTCTGATTTCCCCACATAAATTTCCCCGCTGGATTGTCTGGAGCAGCCAAACTACCAAAAACTTGTTGAAAGCGGGAATGATCTTCAGACACAGTGATCTGAAATTCAGAATCAACAGCTTCCCGCTCACGAGTCATGGCCTCTTGTTTTAAAAGCGGACAAACAAAATAGTTTGAAAAATAATCTAAAGCTTTTTCTAGGTAGATCTCTTGGCATTCAAAATAAAAGGTTGTTTCTTCACAATCTGTTGACGCATTACTGTATCCACCTTTAGTATGTAGGAAAGAATCAAATTCATTTTCTCCTGGGTACTTCTCCGTCCCCATAAAGATCATGTGTTCCAGAAAATGAGCTAAACCAGGAATATTGGGAGGGTCACTGAAACTTCCAACACCAATAGTTAGAGCGACAGCTGCAAAGCGTTCACCAGACTTGCCCTCTACAGCATCATCTTCTTCCTCTTCTTCCTCATCGCCACTAACGGAGGAACAGACTGAGTGGTCTTTGGATTCATTTTCCGAGATCTTCTGAGCATCATCCAATGATATGAGATTTTTCACATCACTCACAATTAAAGCTGTTAGTCTATTCGGTAACTGAATAGCTGAATACTCCTTCGTATCCTGTGGAGATTTTCTGGGGGTTTTCAGGCGTGAAAATTTTTCGTCTCCCATGGTTGGATCGAAAAAAGAGCAAATAGATAAACTTGTGTGCAGTAATTTTTTGACAGAAGGGAGACGGTAATATAAATGTATCACATTTGAAGTGGGACTAGGGAGACAAAGATGACATACTTTAAGCATGAATTCATAGCATCCAGTCCGTCACTATTGAAACGTTGATTTTGAATTTTGAATGTTACTCCAATTGATGCACAGTCACAAAACTCCTAGTGACGTAAGATCGTAAGTATAACACTGTCGGACAGGAATGGAAAAATGAGTCCGAAACTTCTTATCAATGAAGTCAGTGTCTCAATCAAGATCTGTTCACTCAAATTCCGTGAGGCACTTCGTAATCACCGAAACAACCGATTTATTACAACGGCAGATATTGCCGTGAAAGGATCGAACTAACTGAATAACTGCAGCAATTTTACTTAATTTATTAAAGAAAATTTCCGTAAAATCGATAGAATTGACTAGAAGTGACTCGGCTCGAGAGTCAACATCAACATAACCTCAAAATTACCGTAGCCGCTGCCGAAAAGCACCGACCAACACAAAAAGACGCTACGCTCAACAAATTCAAGAGCCAATAAAAACTCAGCAGCGAAGCCGCGAATCTTTTAGGAATTTGAATTGTCGCGTTTGTAACCGAGTGTCCGTCCGCTCAATGCCACGCTCGAAAATTGAACTTCGACTTCGAGGGACCCTATGCCACCGAAACTTAGCAAGTTTTAAAGAGTCAGGGTAAAATCTCTTTATGGGAGCTTTCAATTTTCTTACTTAGCCCTCCTTCCACTCCCTCAAAGAAGCATTTCTAGTAGTTTTTGGAGTTAACGAGTGTGGGGTAAACACTTTAATTTATTGGAGACAAGTATAAATCAATGATGAAACTACAGATGCACATATATACGTCGCTAAGCAGAAAGGAACCAAAGCATTTCAGCTTTCGTTAGATTTAATTGAGCAATTTGATTTTTTACATGAAAACGGTCATGCCAATTTTTTTGCTGATTTCAGTGGATTTTTTACCGCACACAAAGCAAGTTCCTTAAAATTTTCAAAGAAATCCGCACAAACGTTCTCTTGTAAAAAGTTAAATTGCCAGGTTAAATTTGGCAAAAGCTGATGCAGCTTGGTTCTTTTCTGCTAAACCTGGTCCATGTGAGATTTATCAAAACCCTTTACCTAACCCTTCTTCATTTTTTTGGGGGCAAATGAGTTACATAATTTCATTGCCTCACATTTTCTAAGAACATTCTCCACACACAGAGACAAACAAAAGTGAGAAGTATACGCTGATCATGATGAAATTGGGCAGTGATTAAATTTGATTATTATTTATTTAACTTTCTTTACGACTTTCAGAGCACAATGGACTTAAAAGCCTGGACTTTCCAAGTGCCAATTTCAAGAAAATCAGCACTGAAAAGATAATTTCTTAGAGCTGCAGGGATCTACAGACGGGCAATATCCGTCTTATATTGCAAGCTGATAGCAAAAAGCAAGCTCTTTTTGTTCACAACCTGAAAGCAATAATTTGAAAATAAAATAAAACCCAGTCTTTCGTTCATTTTCAGTCTTAGCCTTTTTGTTAGAACAGAGATACCAACACTTTTTATGCATCCTTTTTAAAATGTTTTCGGGGATGAAAAAAAAAATTGACTGCTAGCGAAATGGTGACCCATTAGACATGAGCTTGCATTGGTCGCAGGTTCTCAACTGATACTTCAGTTGCAGAAAGCGTTATACTTGCTGTCTCTGATTTAAGTATTTGAAGAGTTTCATCAGAATAAGTTAAGAGTCATACGCATATCATCTGCTGCTAAATAATACCGAACATCCGACACAAAATCCACATCATAAAGGAAAGTAAATTTTGCCTGAGGAAAAAACAATATATGCATGCAGATGGAATGAAAGAAAAACTCACATTTGTAGAAAGTTGGGTGGTTAGCGTGTGTACTTTGTCATGAGCATCTGCTAGCTGCCTCCGGAGTTTCCTAACTTCAAGTCCTTGTTTCTCTTCTGGCGTACTATAAAGACTGACCGCTGATCCATGAACGTCATCTTCTTTGCTTCCAACTTTAGACAGGAGGCCCATGTTACGGGCGCTCCACATGGATCCCCCTCCTCCTGGCCACATTTGATAGTACATTCTTGAAATCGTTCCTTGGGACATTTGACTAGGTGTTGGACTTGTCGGCTGTGATGAGTGGTTTAAGTTGTAGGGGATGTTGTAATAAGATTCTAACTCCTCAGAACGCTGAAGCATTGACGGATAGACTTTTTCTGATTTTGTTGATCTGAAACAATACAATGCAATAAAAAAATGTTAAACTATATAGGCCTTCCGAATTGTCTTCTTGCTCATCTATAAACTACATGAACAAGCTGAAATCCTGCTTAACTTTTATAACCTCTTTAATTCCTCAAATTTTCTTTTGTCTACAAATTTTCCATGCTGATTTCAATGATTTTCCAACTATTGACAAGTAAAAATCTTTCAACGAGCATAGTGTCCTCAAATTTCTTACATCTAATGCAATTTCTTACTGCACCAAGACGACTGCAACCAGAAGAAAGGTGATTAAGATTTCCTTGAAAAATTATGAGGCAAACCACGAGTATATCATATCATCCCCGAAATATAAGCACACCCAGCTTAAGGTTCAAATAAATTTGTGAAAGAGTCTACTGAAAAGAATTGAGTCGGTCTCAAAAAAAATATCCAAGTTGCATTGGACCCCTTTGAGGTCTTTACTCTTACATAGGGAAATGGCGAATAGCAAGCTTTTTCCGAGAATAGATTTCTATGACAAATATACTCAAGAGTCATATTTCAAGATTGGGAGGACTAATGATGAATGCGAAAGATCATGGTCAAATGACCAAAAATAATTTTTTAACATGTTGAATGTTTGATATTACAGCACTCACTAGACTTTCTACATATTTATGAGTGAAAAAAGTCGAATGAAATTTTAATGCCTTTTAATTATGAAGAAAAACTTTTAGTGCCATACTACAGCCAGTAAAACGATGTCATTTTGAGTTATTCATCCGACTTCAGAAAGGGGGTTTCCGGGTCAAAGGCAGATGGCTCCAAGTTTTCTAAGAAGTGAGGCTTGCCAAACAGAGGATTATGGAAAAAATAACGAGGAGGAGGGAAGGTTCAAGAGAAGTCCTGGGAGGCTCTGCAAGACAATTTAAAATGTGCTAAACAGAGCTAAAAAATCTGGCAAAAGGGGCCTGTGGCCTTATTATTGCCAAAATTAAAGGAGCAAACGCCCCCTGCCCCCTGGGCCAATCTGTCCCTGGTCGTTATGACATGACACAATTTTAGTCAAGACAAAACCTATAGTATGTTTATACAATTCTCAAAAAATATCACCAACAGTAAAGATTTAAAGTATTATACCGCTTGTGAATTATTTACAAATGTTACTACCGCCAAACATGACAAATACTTTACTGAACAATGAGAGTGAGCTATGCATTTAATCAAAGGTTTGGACGTGATGGTGTGAACAAGTATCCTACGTTGATGACTGAGAAATTATAAAAAAATAGGACAGAAAAACGTGAAGAAAGCTCGTCAGACAATCAGTGACGAAGCAAAATTTGAAAAGCAAGAGGCTAAAATACGAGATTTAAAAAAAACCAAATGAACTGAAATTCAGGAGCTGTGATCTGAAAAATTAATTAATTGTAATAATCAACAAAAATTGGCGTACATAATTTTCTGAAAAGCTAAAAAAGCTGCTATTGCTGCAAAATAAAAAGACATCAAAAGTAAATGATTAAAGCACGGTGATTATTTAAGAAATATGTAAAAAAAAAAAAAATTATTTTTCTTGCTTTTGGTGATGGGTGAAGGGAAGCACAAGGTTAAAATGCAAAAAAAAAAATATGCAATGAAACTATCCAAATGATAATTAGCAGTAATACGAATATTTTGGTAGTTTCTGGAAAATATACCTGGGGAAAGTCCGGTCTCGTAGGTAGCTAAAATAAACAATTATGAGAGTCAAACTACGAATTTGTAATTACGGCGTATTTTGGATGCTGTGACATTCCTATTCTTTTATTTAAAATAAAGTTCCTGTTTTTTCCCCAATTTTTAAGAAAGGTACATATTTTCATGTCTCAAAGGGTGTCATCATTGCATACAACTCAAAATCCACATAATGCGGATAGAATGAGACGGATGCAAATGAAGAGATAAAAGACCTGAGAATGCAATAAGACATATCAATCTCAGGTTAATTCAGAAAATTGTTGGAGAAACCTCGTGCTAATACCAAGATACAGAAAGGCAAACCAAAAACTATGTAGTTTGTAAAATAAGAAAAATAAGAGACGTTGTGTCTGTGAGCTTATTTTTTCTCTTTTTCATACTTGCTTTTTGAGATGTTTTAAGCTTCACACATTTTTAATTCATTCTATTCACAGATTTATCTGACTCCTTGCTGAATTCATAGGAATAGGTAGAATGACCGAATCATTTAAGTTTATTGCTCACTTGTGATTCATTAGCTCCGACAACATCAGAGTCCTAGACATTAATTTTGCTTTTCTTAGTTGTGTGCGGTTTGCTGATTAAAGCTTTACAAGTTCATTGGCAAAAAATTTTAACTTGACATTATGAAGTGATATTTGAATTTTTAGGCTGTTAGCAAAGGCATCTGAGATGTCCGGTGGACTATCTGGCAGGCCAGGACGATGATGATGATGATGACAAATGAGGTAACAACAATGCTCCATGAAACTTGCTTTCACAACTTTGCTTTACTTTTTATTAAGACAGAAAATTGGATGTGCAAAAAATCTTTTAATCTGCCGTGTTTTTATTTTGGCACATGTACAGTGTTCGAAACCCACCTTAGAGTTTTAGGAGCCAAGTGGCGCCTCAGACCCGATTTTTAGGTGCCATTGAAGATTTCTTGGGGGCCAAATTGACTTTCTGCCTATATATTACGGCGCGTTTAGTGGAAAGTTAGACGCAAGATGTTTTCGTAACAGAACTAGTGAGTAGCTGTCACTTGGGGAAGACAAAAGCGCACTAAGAATGAAATCGTCAAGAATAGAAAAAGCAAGCTCTCACTTGTAGTGCTGAAAATTCTGAGTTTTTTTCAATTCAAATATAATTGTTTTTCTTTCTTTTTGTGACTTCCTGTGATAATCCAGATTTTTAGGGGCCACATTGGCGCAGAGCCTTCATTTCTTAGGCGCCATGGCCAATTTGTTAGGTGCATTTGGCCCGTTGGCGCCTGTGAGTTTCGATCACTGCATATAAACCATGATTGATGAGATAGTTTACTTCGACCTATTGAAATTTGAAGGGTGATTGATTTGATGATATTAACATTATCTTTGAATACCTGGAGGCAATATGGAAAATATGACAGGAATAGTTTTGCAACAACGAAGGTGGACCTGAACACCAGTAGGAACAGATTGGCATATTCATCCACTTGATGCTGATTTTTAACCAATACTTTTTGAATCCCATGGGGAGATAAACATTAATCAAAGATTCCAAAATTTAAAATACTTGATAGTAAAATGCATACCTTATACTATTGCTTCTACTCAGTCTGGCTAAACTAACTCTATGATGTGATTGAGAGGCAGGTAAGGATTCTGCTTCGCTTAGGTCACCTGAAACAATAAATAAATGTTATTTAAAAAGAACGAACATATCTATTGAGATATTTAAGTAACAAAGACTGAAATTTAGGATGAAAACAAATATCTCTTGATATAATAATGAGAGAAACATTCTGAAGAGGCTCTAATCTTTGGGAATCTACTCTTGATTAATTTCTCTCTTCAGATTTTTCTTAAAGGGAGGAGCTATAAATTGATATTAAACAGGACAGACAGCCTTAGCCTTTGAAACTTTATTCAAAAAGCGGACAGAAAGTTCTGCGTTTGAAAATTGAGCATCCATTAGGGACGTTTTGATACAGCTTATGAATAAGTCACTAGTTTTGTAATTCAAAGTGAATCGTTCAGATACCAAAGGCAGGATGAACTGGGCACAACTGACTGAAATAAATTATTTTCCTCTTCGAACACAAATTGATGGGATGTATAAAACATTCAGAGGAAGAACAGATTTTGCTGAATAAGCTTAAAAAACCAGTCCTAGTAGACTCCGTAAATTTTCCCAGTTCTAGGCGTTTGTCTCCCTGATTTGAAATCTAATGTAATCTCACAGACTCCATAAATAATACACAACAGCATATTGGATGGATACAAATTTTCACTATGTTTTACCCTCTTAAGGATGCAAAATGTTGCACAAAACAAAAACATGTTTAAAAGTTTTGCAAGAAAAAAAAGTAACTGATATTTCAAACCTGATATTTTAACATAATTTTCAAAGAAAATCACAGGGTGTCTAACAACATTTTCTTCCTCTTCTCCCTAATTTTCTAGGTTTTCCCTGACCTTGAATTTTTCGTTCCTCTGACTTTTCCAGATTCTTCCTGCCCTTTTTGAAAAATAAACACAGCTCAGTGCCAAGTACTGGTATGAATCAATGGGGGTTCGAATTTCTGACAAAGAAATTTACTACAGACCAGGAAAGATTACTGCTGTAATCAGTATCAAAGCACCTTAAAGTTACGCAAAAAATACGCAGAATTTCGCAACCCTCTACTCTCTGATAAAAGTTTCCTCTCCCTAACTTCTCTTTGGCCAATTTCATCTCCTCAACTTTCCACAGCTTTCTCCATTCTCCCACTTGCAAATTATATCTTGAAAAAAAAAAATAAGAGAATTATTCTTACCAGGAACATGGGATGAATAACTGGTGCGAGGAAAAGTGCTAATTCTATCTCGAACATTCTGAGAGTTGTTGATGGATTCCGTCTGTGTGCCACCTGAGACTTTAACCTAGAAAGTCATTTAGCAACAAGATCAGTTATGAGAAAGTCAAAATTAGGTATGTAAAAAAATGAGTGTCGCCGATTCAACAATCGATTGTGCAAAGTTTAAATATCCTTTTGATTAAGTTTACATCAATTTATAAAAAAAAAAAAAAAAAAAAAGAGGATGAGTTAATGAAACAATTTAATCTTTAAAAATTACCTGTAATGACAAGTTTTCTCTTGTTCAAGAAACAAGTGGTGCAAATAAGTTTATTTTATTAATTGAACAAGCCACATTCCTTTTAGTTAGGGACTAAACTTATGGGCTGCTGGAGCGTAATATTTTCCACTCAAAGAAAAGCTGGTGTAATAAAGTATTCATATTGGTTACTTGCTGGTCATAATTAATTCTGACAAATACGGCTGAGACTTCAAACATTTTAAAAAGCATGGTAGAATTTAGCGTGAAGTAGTATACCTTGGTGCGAGGCACTGCGGAGACTTGTGCTGTTCGAGTTTCACCTTTACCTCCATCACCATTTGTTGGTCGTTTTGTATAGCCAAAACTGGGAGGCACTCCGCGTACTTTGTTCTTACTGTCCCTTAGATTTAATTTTCTATCACCATTACAATATTCTATACACGTTAATTCTTCTCTTGAATGAGAATCTGAAAGAAAAAAATACACATTCATGACAAGCAACGGAATAAACTTGATTTTACAAAGTGTACGGGACCTATGCTTCTCATCCATGACTCTCTTGCATCTTGGCTTTGAGGCTACTGGACTATGAGTATGACTCTCAAATCTTTTGATTCATGATGAAGATCAATTTTGGAAGATTTTATTCCTATCACCAAATTAACTCCAAACATCTCCCTCTTTAAAATCCTTGTCGAATAAATTCCTTTTTCTTAAAGCCTCCTTTGGAAAAAGAGTCTTAGTGTATGAAAGAAATATTTTTAGTTATTCTTATATTAGGTAAAAAAATCAGGGTTTGAGTTTTCAATAGAAAACAAGCCGCTGTCAGGCGGCAGATTGAACTTCGATCAGCTTTTTTCAAAATGACATTTGTTGAATTGCAAACATTAAACCCCATAGTTACTAATATACACAGGGATAAGTCAAGATTTTCCACGCCACATCCAAAAATTTTCACGGAAGTTTTTAATCACCCAGTTATGGATGCCAATTTTTTTCCCCCTGAATGAAAAGCCAATATTTTAAGGTCCTAAAACTTAGCATGTGCACTTTGATTGATTTCAAACACACTTTGCAAGTTTTCTTTCTAAAAATTCTCGAAAAAGGATTAATTCATGTTCTCTCGAACTGAATCTTTGCGTAACCTTATCTTTCATTTGCATTTTGAGGAATATGATCAAAATTTGCAGGGATTTTTGGTCTTTGGAAAAGAAACTATAGAAATTACTATTTGAAGACAATAATGCAACCCAAATTGTAAAAGAGAGGACTTTTTCATAATCTCATAGGAAGTCTTTCATTAGATTTGATCACTGTAAGAACAATCTTTGTAAATGGTTCAAACTTGAAGCGACTTGTTACGTTTCTATTAAACTTGGTCCAAATGGTTTCCTACTTGAATTTAAGTTTTGCATTGAATCAAAAACATACCTGATGACTTTTTATCTAACTTTCTCTGGGATACGATTCGCTTTTCTGGTGTCCTGGAAGAATCTGAATTCCACTGCTTGGCAGGGAATGCGCTCGTTTCAGTTTGTTGGCTGCTATCCGATTTTTTAACATGACTCCTCCCAGAGCGATAGATTATAGCGGGTGAAGGCTCTCCACCATTAGTTCCTCGATAATCCATTGATGAGATTACTTGCTCTCCGACTAATATCTGAGAAATATTTACAAAAAAATTTGATTTACATATCTGTATATTTCACTTTATATATACATATACATTATACATATCTGTATATTTCATTTTAAATTCAAGATCCAGCAAAAAACTTGACACTGGTCGGAGTTGAAACTTTATATGACTAGACTATAACTTTAACTGGCTATAGCCAGTTGTATACACTACTTTATGAGACCCAAGACCCTTTAGGATCTTTCAAAACAACTGCTTCATTTTTCTCGGGAAATTACTTATCTAGGTGCATCTAAACCTCAAAGGTAAAATTTTGACTTAGAAAAACTGCTGTTACAGCACTGAACATCGTTGAGCAATAAAAGCCAAGAAAATGTTCAACTCTCTAGAACCGATAAATGCCTTGAATATTCAGACTTAACGGTCTTCCGTTTCAAATCTAAATTCTAGATAAGTGAAAAGTTTATACCTAATAGGTACATATGGACCGCATTTTGCAATAAAGAACTACAATATTTAGCTCATCCATAAAAAACAGTTATGTGCATGGGAAAACTAATGATACATACAGTGTTTCTCAACTAAGCCACAATTTGCAGTTCCTCCTTGAAAATTGTAGTCCATAGGTAATTATTTAACATAGGAGCTAATGAGAGAAAAAGAGACTGAAGAGGATGGGGAGGGGGGGGAGTTGGAGAAAGGGGAAAAAAAGAGGTGATTAAGGAGGACGAAATCATACCTTAACATGATTTTCTTTGGTATTGAGTGTGGATGGAGAAGACCTACTCTCTCCATTTTTAGATTGGTCGTCATTCCTGGGAACAGAAAATACATTGAAAAAATGAAAAAAATGCAAGGTCATAACACACACCCTTAACTTGAACAGAGACCTGAGGCCTTGTCCACACAAGCGCTTTTTGAGGAATTTTGGGCAAGTTTGTCCCGAGCACTTGTTATACCTTGCCTAAAACTTGTTCCACAAACCCCTCTTCCCCCTTTGTGGAACTACTTCCCCCAAACTTCGCTCGTGTGGAAGAGGCCAAAAAAAGATATACTTCAAACAAAGCTGTGTTCATGTACGTGATCAAAATTAAATGAAAATAATAAAACAAATCACACAGCAGGTAACAAGGCGAATTCTCGAGTAAATATCACCATAACGCTAAAGCTGAAAACTCACAATCAGCCTTCCTCACTTGGATAAAATAGTGAAAAATTGTAAAACTCTAAAGATGTAGTGCTTGGCTGTACCTTCCAAAGCGAGAACAATGTTGTTATCGAAACGCTTGAAAATCTCGCTTTGAAAAGTACAGCCAAGTACTACGTTTATTGGGTTTTATAATTTTTTACCGTTTTATCCAACTGAGGAGGGTTGAATTTTCAGCCGAGACGTTTTGGTGATATTTACTTGAAAATTAGCCTTATTACCCGCTGTGTAATTTGCTTCATTATTGTGTATCTTGTCACTAGCTGCGGAGCATCAATCTTATCTCATGAAATAAAAACACGTCTTAACTTGTGACTTTGCAGTTCTATCCCTTCAAATGCATCGTTAGTGAATTTCCGAATTTTGATAGAAGAATTTTCATGACAGGAAAAAAATCACCCCAACCTTGGCCACAATAGTTACCAATTACTAATCAAAAATGATTCCGGCAAAGATTAGAATAAAGGTGAGTGCTTCAAAAAAAAAACGCAGAAGGGGGAAAAAACAATGAGGAGACTCACGGCAGTGAAAAATGAAGACAATTAAGAGATAATTTGAGAAGAATTCCATACAAAAAGTTTCCCTTAAAGAGTTAAAGCATCAAAGACAGAGCGAATAGATGAAAGTACCTCATCACAAAAAGGAGGAATTCATTTCTTTGTCCTCGGATTTTATTTTCCTCTTTTCCCGACGGTATTACTTGGAAGAATTTTTTCCTCTGTTTTTTTTTCTTTCCTTTAACTTGACTGATAAACTTCACTTTTCAATCTTTCTCAGAGCATTTAATCAAAGTTTTTCTTTCCCCTAAAATGCAGATAATCCGCTCATAATATGGAAGTTGAACATTCTCTTCTTGGTACCCACTTTTTTTAGAGGACACTGCCTAAGGAATTCCTAGTCATGATTTACCTAAAAAAAGCTTTGATAGCTGATGCAGGGGGAAAAAAAGTAAGCAGAGGATTTTAATATTTATAGTTTCCCTTTTCATCTTCTTGTTCTGATTCTCGAGAAGATTCTCCTTGCATAGTACCTTTACTACTCTATTCTGATCGAATGAATTGGTATTCTTGAAAACCTGTTTGAGAAAGATTATTTTAAAACGGGTAAAATGTTGATGAAACTTACAATTTTTTGGACTTTGGTTTGACCAATATCCGTTGCACTGGTTGAGGTTTACTGTCTTTTCCAGGTTGACTGTAAGCCCCGTTTCTGAGAACATAAAAAAAATCACATATTAGGTTTGATTAAGTGAAAATATTCGAGTTCAACAATACTAATACTAATGGTGCAAATTTTAACGGAATGAAAATCATATGGTGGTGAAAGTAGAAAAATACTTGTCTTAAATTCGATATAAAAGTGTCCGTGCTTATGCATTATTTCTTCCTATTAAAAAAAAAACAGACAAAGCCTCTACAAGAAATAGAGTCCAAAATTTAAACATTTTACTTAAAGCGCTTTCGGCGGTCGACGATGATAATTTTTGCATAATGTGTGGGGTTGCCATAATTTCTTCAAATCCAAATTCCCTAACTTTCCCTTACTTCAAACAAAATGTCCACCTATTTTTTTTTTTTTTTGCTTTTATATACGCTGAATTTCGCTAAACTTTGAACAAAACCTAGTTCAGAGGTTGAATTGTGGAAAAAGGCATTCAGTGGCTGGTTGAAAGATGACAAGCCGTCAAAAGTATCAGAGAGCTGAACCGTTGGAAGATCAGTGATAAGTAGGTGTGTTAGAAGTTCCCTGACTTTTTCCACAAATCCTCTGACTTTTCCCACATATCCCCTGACTTTTCCCACAAACTCCCTGACTTTTCCCACAAATTCCCTGACTTTCCCTGATTTTCCCGGTTTTCTAGGCAACCGCATTCCGGCAACCCTGAATGCGGCGAGAATAGCAAAAATAAGCCGTTTCCACGGATAAAACGGATCTGAGGATAAACCATAAGTGCATCCTTAATAACTTTCACGTCTCTTAATCGAGGACAAAATGAGTCAAATTTCATTCATAACTCTCACGCGGAGGAGGGTGGGTGCGTTACATTGCGTTCTGAGCATGGCTGGCACACACACCCTCATCTGCAGCACGATAAGCACGTGAGTCATAAAAAGGGTGAAAAGGAGTGATTATGCGTTTAAACGCCCCTGGAGAAGTACACACGATTAATAGACACGATCGGTCCCTATCTACAAATTGTCAGCTGCCAGGCAAGAACAAAACGAGGATGAACACATGTATTACACGGTTGCCAAACCGCGGATCTTCATACATTAGGCGGATCAAGCAATCTGGCAACATTGTTTTTTCTCCATCTAAACCTATGGAAATACATCGATTCTTAAAGGGGCCAGGTGCTCCAACAAGAATCGATTATTTAATATAGGTTTGAATGAAGGGAATCCGGTGTTCAAAATTGCTGAGTCCGCCTCTGATCCACATACCGTTGCGAACGAATATTACACTCTGACATTGAGATAAGGATAAATGAAATCAGCCAAATTTTCTTTAAATTTTGAGATCTACTTATAACTGTAAAGTACAAGGAAACATAGCCTGAATATACGAAAAAATAGGAAGGGATTTAAAACATAGGTAAACAAGGCTAGAACATTAAAAAAACACTAAAAGGCAGGACGTTTTCAGCTGTTACCAGCTCATCTTCGACTGCAAAAAAAACAAAAAATGAAAAAAAAAATTGAGCGGCGACGTGCTTTGAATTAAGTGCTCGCGCGATAATGGTTAGGGCCAAGTCGCCACTCAATTTTTTTTCCATTTTTCGTGTTTTTTGCAACTGAAAATAGGCTGGAAACAGCTCGAAAAGACCTGCCTTTTAGTGTGTTTTTAACGTTTTAGCCTTTGTTAACCCATGTTTTAAATCCCTTCCTATTTGTTCTTATAACTATACTACCCTCCACACGTCAAAAATTATGGTGGTTTATTCATTTTGTTCGTTATTTGTTTTGTTATTTATTCATTGGTGTCTGCAGTGAAAGTTACCACCGACTTTTTTAGCTTAGTTGCCGCAACTGAGGGCGTAAATTTCAGTTCAATCCGACAACTTGGGCCCCGAACTCGAAAACAGTACAATATACAAATAAAAGATTGGACAGTTTGAAAGATGGTGCTAAAAAACTCACACGCGGTTTCTGCACAAAAAAGCTCAATTTAAAACCTTGACCGGATAGAGGCCGGTAACCGGAGTTTGCGAGAGTCGAATTCGACGCAACACGCTGCTCGAACGCTCCCCCGGCGCTGCCTGCTAAGCGAAAACCACGTAAGTCCGCCGGAGAACCCAGCGTAGATACGAGCTTTCTGCTGAGACGGCAGGGCGGGTGGCGATCTGGAGCTGCAGTGAACGCAGGGTTCGGGGTTAAGATTTCGAGGGAAGAAAACGAAAACGATTCGAACCCTCTCTCCGAGTTTCTCGGAAGATCATAAATATTAGAGCCCTCGCTGCCGGGAGCCCGAGTCTCTCGTTTCACGGCTCGGTTGGAGCGTCGGAAAACTGGGGGGAAAACGACCGAATCGGGAGGAAAACTTGCACCTTCATTTTCGTCGTCTTTAGGGTCGCCATTATTCCTACAGGTTTGTCGTTTTAACGGCAAGTGGAGATCGCATTTGTCAGGGTTGCCGCAGAATTTAGAAAATTATATTCCCTAACATTTCCCTGACAGATTTTGGTGAATTTCCCTGACGACTGAGCAATAGTGGAGATCGCATTCGTCAGGGTTGCCACAGAATGTAGAAAATTATATTCCCTGACATTTCCCTGATATCCTTGATATATTTTGGTGAATTTCCCTGACGAGTGAACGAATGCGAGATTGTTAAAAAGACATAGTTAGAAACAGTTTTCAGGCAAAATTTGATGTTTGAAACGTCAAACCTACTCGAGAAAGCAAAGAGAGGTAGTTTAACGATTTTTCCCTGACATTTCCATATTTACTCTGACATTTCCAGGTTTTCCCTGACTATTTGGAATTCCTTGAAATTTGTCAGTATTTCCTGACTGTGGTAGCCTTGATTTGTGCATGTGTTCGTTATGGCATTTCCCACCTGCGGGCTGATTATTGAAATCTATAGACAAAGCTATAGATAAAAAAGACAAAAGGTATTTGGAGGGACCCTATTGGTGGACGCGGGTGGTTGAAATAGACAAAGGTGGTACGTAATAGACTAACAGCAAACGACAAAGGACTCTTTGGTTAGTCCATCATTTTCCCCCTTGGTCTGTAAGAACCATAAGTTTTAGTCAATGAAAATTCTCCATACTCCCTATGTCTCCTTTGTCTATCGCTTTGTCTACGAAATTCAATAATCAACCCACTGGTTAGATTTCGTAATGGTAATAATTTTCCCTGTGTCGAGGATGCACTATGGAGAGAACGCAAACGTGGTGCAGCTTCAAATGGAGTAACATTTTTTTGGAGCACCCTCCAATGTCTAAAATCTTCATTCCCTCAAAGCCCCGCACACAGTTTTTATACCCCAGGAGCGGAATAACACGAATTAATAGCTGATGATAAGGAAATGCCTCACAAAGTCTGTGAAACGGGGAAAAGGAACGGTGTGTTTACTTTGCTGCCCCCTTTTCCGAATGTTCTGTTTGCTTTTTGTTCGAGTAAACTGAGCGGATGATTTTATTCTGTTGACTTTCTGTTCCATTGATCTTGGCGAATTCACCCTCGATCATACGTTGAGACATGCCAATCTTTGAATTATACTTTCGATTGAAACTAAAAGACGGCGAGATTCGTTAGCGAATACTCAGTTTTTTTAGATATTGTCAATAAAGATCCAAAAGACTCCTAAAACTGTTGGGATCACTAAGAAAACGACAAATTTTGCTTCCAGCTACATGAGAGCGTTAATATTAATTTCATGTTAGGGAAGACGGCAATATAAGCTATCTGTATGCTCGGAACATTACGCTTTAAACAAATAATAATAAAATTTTAAGATTAGAACTTGGTCGAAAAGGGTATCATTTTACTCAAAACAGCAGTAAGTAACAGATTTCGTTAGGTTACTTTAATTGAGCCAATGTTCGCCCATTCACTGCTTTCTTGCCTCTATACATTTTTCTTTTTTATCCGGTAATTTTTTTTTTTCTTTAATTACACGAGAAGAGTCAAATTTCGTAGGAAATTCGTTTTTGGTTGTTCTGCTCTCTTCGATAGCACGGCAAGTGTCCGCACATTGAGAATTCATAGCGCCTTCCAAAATTGCCAGCCGCGTCTAGGGGTGTTCAATCGGTTGTCGGTAAGATATCGATAAAGTTCCGGCAAGAAATAGTAACGATAAGGCGGGTAATACCGATAGCGCACTCACTATCGGTAGCTTAACGGTAGCTTAACGATAGCTTAACGGTAGCTTAACGGTAGCTTATCGGTACCTTATCGGTAGCTTAACGGTAGCTTAACGGTACCTTATCGGTACCTTAACGGTACCATATCGGTACCTTAACGGTACCATATCGGTACCTTATCGGTACCTTATCGGTACCTTATCGGTACCTTATCGGTACCTTA